GAGAGAGAGAGAGAGAGAGAGAGAGAGAGAGAGAGAGAGAGAGAGAAAGAGAGATGACTGGGGGGTAAGGGGTTAGGGTCGGCTGTTGCATTTTTGCTTGGGTCGCTGTTGGGTTTCTGTTTTTTTTTATAAATATATTTCTTTTCATTTTATTTTGTCATTTTAGTTTTCATTTTATTCAAAGTTGACAGCGTTGTGTTTCATGTTAAGAGAGAGGACATGTGTTAGAAGAATAAGGGGGAAACAGGGAGGCATAGGAAAAAGGGTAACAGGAAAACCGGACTCTAAAGATACATAACAATAAATAACTTTTTAAAAAATAAATAAATAAATAAATAAGAGGAATTTAAGTAAATACATAACAAAATTATAAATATATATATTCAGTAATAAAAGGGCTTTATCTATATATATAATAGATTATTATAAATAAACCCAATCATAGACATGTATTTATAAAAAAACCCACACACTATTTAAACATAGAAACACACCCAAAATCAACCCCAAAATCAACAATTGTATATTTTTTGGGTGTGTTTATAAATGGGTTTTGAGTGTGTGTAATGATGGGTTTTGGGTGTGTTTATAAAGTGTTTTGGGTGTTGGGTTTTTTTATAATTTCAGCCCCTATTTTGGGTGTTTTAGTGAAACTCCCTATATATAAAGCAAAAGGTAGAGAATGATGAAACATTCAAAATACCAGAAAATACCCTTGGTTAATTGAAACATTAAGAATTGAAATTATTAATTAAATGAGGATAATATGGTAAATTCACATTTTTTAATATAAAAAAATTAAAATTAAAAACAAAATCATATAATAGGTCCTACTTTTATGGAACATAATTACCCATGTTATCTTTTTTTAATTCTAAAAATAAAATAAAAAATAAAAAATAAAACCAGTTGGCACAAGCTCTAGTATATAGTAAAAATATTACCAATATGTGTAAGTTTATTAAATTATATATTTTATATATGATAACTTCTTTGATCGAGCAAGTCCATTGGCTTTTCTTTTTAAATAATTTTCTCTTTAAATAAAGATACCATATAAATAAAATACAGAAACCAAAATTGACAACGACGTTGCGACAGACCAGGTGGATGTGAGATCAGGATTGTTGTTGTTAAGCTGGGTTCGAAACCAGCTTGTGTCATTTTTATGAATTTTTGGCTTTTAACTTCCAAATAAGTACATCCTTATATTGGGAAATAGCGGTATATACCACCAAAATTATAATCTCAATTAAAAATACCACCGGCTCCCAATTTTTTTACAACTAACA